AGACTGTAAGAAAAATGCTGAATAGTTCTGCACCTGTAGATGACTTCTAATGTTTAATTGCTTTAATGTGTAAAATGTGTATTTAAACTCTTAACAATCCATTTAACCTTGATATATTAGAGGGAAAGTTAATCCAACCAGCTGTTCACAAAAACCTGCAGTAGTGACATTGTGAAGTCTTTTGTGATGCTGCTCTTCTCTTTTGCCTTAACTGAAGGTGGACATAACATGAGGTGTGGCCTAGGAGTTCAGGAATATCACTGTTTTGTCAGGACTAAGTACAATTGCATGACCTTATTGTAGAAAAAGAATAAATGAAGTTAGATGTCAGAAGGTTGTAAGGGCTAGTTTTGGCTTGTGCTGTTGTAACTTTAAAGCTAGACTGTGTTTTAAAACTTAGTTCTGTAAGACTTATTCCTTGACAAGGAATAGACACATGCAGAAATGAAAGTAGATGGGTAGGTATACTTCTGTTTATAAGCATGCTGACTTCTTGCCTTCTGCCTAGGTGTGTGCAGCACATAGGACTAAAGTACTTATTAGGAAAGATTGTTCAGGTTATGAAAGTGCTGCTTCAGAGCAGTTTCATGGAGAGAGAAACCTATTTAGGCTTGGAGTAGATAAGAAAATCCAGCAAAGCCAAAAATATATATGTATAAAGGAAAGAAAGAAAACAAAATGCCAAAATAAGTAAACCCACCCCTCAGCTGAGCTGGGCTCTGAAGTGGCAGAGCACAAGTTCTGTTGAAGTGCTTTTCAAGTCAGGTGGTGGTGCTTCGCTTAGCAGAAGGATTTTAATGAGTCTTGGGAGTTAAGCAACCAACCTCAGGTGATGTAGCATAACAACAGTGGCATTTTCTGCTTAAATTTGTTAAACCCACGCCCTTTTTATGGTGATCCCACAATAAACACCATTGAGAAATGTGACTTAATGGGCAGCATAGGTGCTTAAAAATAGAAGATGTCCCTGGAACCTTTAGATAAAACTAAAAGAACAAGTACAAAATATGCCTTTGCACATCAGGATAAGGGTATGGGAAAACTGGAAGAAGCTTCTGCTTGCCTGAACTGCTTCACCCATTTTCTCCCCATTAGTTGATACGAGAAGTGCTTATTAAGGCGCTAGAAAGGTGTACTTTGGCCTGGTCTGTCTCTTAAAGGCACCTAGTTTCTCTCCAGAAAGCACGTAGCTAGTAATGGTTAAATCACGGATGGAAAAAATCTTGCTATTTGTTTACCTGATGAAAGTTTTCTGAGTAGTTGTAAACTTTGTAAATATTGTTGTGACTTTATGCTGGCATTAAAATCAGTTCAATTGTTTGCTTGTGGCATTTCTTCAAAAAAAGCTATTCTAAGTAACTCCTTCCCCCTTTCCCTGTTCTTGGTTCCAGGGGAGGCTAAAGAGAGGAGTGGCTTGGCATTGTTTTCAGTCTGGATTCAAGCATGCTGAATAACTTTGTCCCATGGGAGAATTAAAAAAAAATGCAGCAGATGGCAGCAATGATGCATCAGACTTCCTATCCTTAAGAACAATGTATCTGAAGGCACTTTGAGGCTTCACATATTGGATAAGCTGGCTGGGCAGGGTAGTCTTCCTCTTCCCTTACTTTGCAATTTCAAAGCAGACTTGCTGAGGAGAGGATGTATTCCCTGGCCTATTCAGCAATCTTTTTATATGTTCAGAGGATTAGTGGTGAATAGATTTCCCCTGAAAGTTAGCCACTGTGTTTCTTTCACATATGCAAATCTGAGTCTGCCTATAGCATTTAATATGTTATTTAAATATAGGGTAATCTGTGTTTTAAGAATCTAAATCACTTTTTTTTTTGTGTGGTTCATTTGTCCTATGAGCAGAATATTTGTGGAGAAAAAGCTACATCGGCAGCTATATTACAGATTTGCACTTTTTTGTTAAACAGAGTATTATAAAGAGAAGTAGGGTAAGAAATGACTCAAATACCTGAATACTTTACAAAAGATTCAGAGAAGAGCATTTCATGCTGTATAAAGAAGAGATTCACTTTTCGTCTGTTACGCTGCTAAATGTGAGCTCTACTATGTGTTGTTGCAGGAGCACTTCATAGTGTCTGCAGTGAAGACGGAAATGACACATTTGAATTTCCAGAGTGCTTCTGCGCATGCTCAGTACTGCTTGTACTTTCAAGCTATTATCATTACATTGTAAACAGCTTGGTAAAGCGAGAGCTTTTATATGTGTATGTGTGTATATATATATTTATTCTCTTTTAGCTGATTTTAATCTAGCCTGGTTCTGCTTACTGTGGTTCAGTGCAGCATCGGGTTTTTCTTGATCTTCAGGTGACAACAGGCAAAAAAGCTTTGCTTCTCTTTTGGTTCATTAGTCTAAACAGGTCTGAACTTAGTTTACTGACTAGATATGAATGACTAAAAGAGGAAGTGATGTGTAATTTATTTCTATGTTGACAGTAGTGGATTTTCTGTCAGATGTAAAGTAAGCAAAGGAGATTGAAAGGAAGAAGTGACTGTAGGCTTCTTTGGAAAGGTGTTTGGGTGGGTTGGTTTGTTATTTTCATGGAATTTTGGAAACAAAGGAGAAATCTTGCAGTGTGATGGTGACCATACAGACAACACAGATAAAACTAAATCATGTCTTAAGCCTTATGTAGGCTATGTGACTTGGCCATGAAGGCAGCTGTAAAGCAAGCCATAATGACAATCAAAACAAAAAGTAGCAGTAGTGGGATATTAGAAAATGGATCTCTATGTTAGGCAGCCTTTATGCTGCAAGTATAGTTTGCAGTAGAAATTAAAATAGATCTCTTACTAGTTAGTTGAAAGGCAACTACTTTAATTAGCCTTAGTACTCCTATGTACTGCTGTATGAACACAAAGAAGGCAAGGTGCCAGGCTAAAACTAGTTCAAGTGCTTCTTGATTAAACTTGCCATAAGGTACACAACCAAGTGAAAAATAACACTGAGTTCAATGTAGAGCTGAAAGAACATTTGAAATGGAATTGAAGGGTCTATCTTTTCTTACTCTATTCAATGTTTCCAGTATTTTAAGTGACAGAATAGTGTTGTTCTATAGTGGTACAGTCTGCAAGATCTCTGGAGGGATAGGGTCCAAATTTCAAATAGTAACGATGGGTTTGGGAGGAGGTCTGAGTGATGTAAGGATATGTAAAGGCAAATAAGAACAACTGTTTAGAGCAGAAAAGATTGCTGGGTATTTTTATTTTTTTTATTGGGTTTTTATTTTTGAAGAAACAGAACTAATTTTTTTAGCAAGTAAAGGGACTTACAGTAGTAGATTTCTTCCAATGTGTAAATACATGTGTATAAACGTGTTCTAACTGTTCTAAGGTCAGAAAGAAGTCTTTCATATACAACAGAGAGAAGTTACTCTGGGAGCAGACTTTTGGAAAAAGAAGCATTTAGTCAAACTAAAAGTACCTTTTAAATGCATCTGAGTTTTTCTGTGAGTACACAATTTTTTTGAAGGTTAGGTATAATTAATCCTGCCACAGTAACATGAGATGGTTGGATGATTTTAAGGCCCCTCAGGGATTATGTATTCCTTTTTCTTCCCCCCCCCCCCCCCCCTCCATGCAGATAACAAATTAAAAAAGAAAAAAAAAAAAAGAAAAAGCTTGGAACAGAATTATCTTCTGATAACGTACAATGACTGTTCAATGGAGTACATGAGGCCTTATCTATCTTTAGCCTGCTTTTCCTAAAGAAGTAATCTTGGTGTAGGTTCAGCTCTGGGGGAAGGGAGGGGAAGGAGAAAATGATCTACAATGTGTTTGATCTAATAGCTTACACCAGTTTAGTCCTCAAATTGGATTTAAACTTGTGAAGCCAGAATGCATTTATCCTTGTATAGAAAGTGGGAGTTGTATTAAATATGAAGGTGAGCAGGTTTTTGGCACACACGGACATTGTGAAAGATCTCATTTAAATATTCTAATGATTTGGATGAAGGAAACTTTTCAGGAAATTAAACAATGGAAGTTCTTAAGACTTGGTAATAGTTGTAAACAGACTGTAATCTCATTAGAATTATTTGGCTTGAATATTACAGTGCATATGATGAAATACCAAAACATTGCTCAGCAACTGGGATTTGGACTTTGAGTGGCAATGACATATGAACCTCGGCATGGTTCTAAAGCGCTATTTTTGGCAGCTGGGTGTTGGCTTGTCTCCTCAGTAGCAGTAGAAAGTTAGTTTAGTGTATAGAGGAAGGTGATTTGCAATGAGAACACGCCTTTGACACCACTTTTTAAACATGGGTTGCTGCTTCAGTAAAGAATTGAGTAACAGCACAAATGAGGAGAAAACCAGCTTGTTACAAAAATCCGTGGAAGAGGAAGCACCAAAGTCAAGGATAAGTAAAACTTTATCTTCAATTTTAAGAACTGTGGGAAGCCAAGATCTGCAGACAGGGGGAAGGACGGCTAACGGGGCAGCTGCAGTAGTCGGCATTGAACATGTTCGTAGTGATGATTGCGCAGCGTCAAATTCTACATTTGGGTTCTGGGATAGAAAAGCGAAATATCCGTCATACAAAAGCATGGAGAATACTCCTTGTGAGAGCTCTAGGAGAACGTATGACAGACCTTTTAGCTTCTTTAATTCCTTTAGTCACCTCCTGAAGGTCTCTGGTACATATGCAAATCTACAGAAAACTGAAGAAAAAAAGGATAGGGTAGTTCAAAAAAGAGCATCTAAAAAAAGTGACAGTGCTAAAGGTCAGCATCTGAACTATATAGAAAATATTAATAGTAATATTAATAATGGAAATGTAGCTGCAGAAGAGCATTGCTTGTTTGATCATATTTCTACTTTGCATGTACCAGGCATCATAGACAAAGGTTTACAGAGTGAAATTTCCTTAAATAGGAATTTTCAGGGGGATTATGCAGTTCCATGTGACTATTCAGGGCAGAATGAAACAACAGTTAAAGACTGCAAGAGTGACAGCTTACAAAAAGTTTCAACTTCATATAGAGAGATGTCTCCAACATTTTCCTATCTTGATGTAGACAACAGACAAAATACAAAAGATAGGGAGTTTTACAGTATTTGTGTTGTAGATGCTGAAGATCTGAAAGGGGCTGAAGAGGTGCCAGCTACTGTGCATGGAGAGACTGCAGCAGACATAGATAACTCAGCTGTTACTGATGAAGGAATGTGCAGCATGGCACAACCTCTAGACACTGGGGAAGAATTTCCAGTGCAGCAGTCGACACAAGTGGAACCAAAGTTTAATTCACAGAAAGAACTGTTTGAGTATAAAAGATTGGATAGGTCAAGCATACAGGAAAAGGAAGCAAAGGAATATCGTAGCACAGACATCCGATCTTCTTATGATAACTTATTGGCTAACAGGAGTCAGGTGCATGGGTTAAATACTGACAGTACAGTAAAAGATGGCTTAAGAGTGAAAGTATTTGATGAAGTCATCCCTGAGAATCAACAGGAGTTGTATACAAGAGGTCATGCTGTCAGTTGGAATGAATCACTCCACAGCACTTGTGATTCTGTAAAATTTGTGAATGCTGCCGAAGAGGACCGATGCAGCCCTAATTCAGAAAATGCAAAACATGGTGATTCCAGTGTATCATTAAACACTGGAGTATGTAATTCAGGAAAAAATGAGGAAAGTCATGGTTCTGACATACTACCATTTGGTTTAAGTAGGCATTCCTCAAGTGTTGTAAGGGAAATAAATACTAAACAGGTGGCAGATAACATGAGGGGTAACTTTAAATTATCATTGGAGTTACATGAAACGGACAATGACTCTTTTTTGGTGAGTCAACATGTAGAAAAGCTTGCTGAAGAAGGCTACTTCCTAAAGCCAGAAAGTGAAGTGAATGTGGAAAAGAGAACATTTCAAAGAACATCTGGTCATGGCCAGGTGCTTGCATCTGACTCTCATGAACATCACAGTGTTTTGGAAGAATACTTGAAAGATAAAGAGAAATGCACAGGTACAGTTTTGCATAGCTGTGAAGCTTTGAATATGATTGAAATACATGAAAACCTGGAAGAAAGTTCTGATTTTCAAACTCAAATTAAGGGTTGCACTGAAAGCAAGACATCAGTAGAAGCTGCAAACCATAGTGGCATGGAGGAAGATGTTTTTGTGAGTATCGCTGAGCTAAAAGGTAACGTGCTTGAGGAAGCTAGTAGCTTGAGCGGAGCTCCATCATGGGTAAGTGATGGCAGTTTGACATCTTGTGAGCTACATAACACAGGCACAGATGAAATGTTCCTAAAGGAAAACAGCCTAGAATCTCAGATTTCACAAGAGCCACCAGGGAATAAACTATGCAAATATTCAAATTCAGATAGCAAAACCAGCTTCTCCTCTGTGTCTGTGGAACATGAGGGTATGATTAAAACTGACATGAACTGTAGACAAGATGAGCAACAGGATACATATTCTTTCCACACAGTGGAGAATCAGTGGAATGCAGGGACTGATTTAGGCGAAATAGCTGGGGATGTAGTAGAATCTATAAAACAGATAAAATTTGAAGCTCACCTGAATGAGATAGTTGGTAACAAGGCTGAAAATGTAAAACAGAATTTGGATGCTAATATTAGTGATCGTGATAAAACCATCTTAAATTGCAATAAAGGCTTAACTCACGATCAGAATACTTATTCTAACTCCGCTGTACCTTCGGCTTTGGACAGCTGTAGGTACAAGAGTGTAAACTTGATAGACACTAAAAATCAAGAAGATGCTGTGAATCTCTTACATAAAGCCCATAATAGTTTACCTTCATTGTGTCAAGATGCATGTTGTCATGTGTGTGATAAACCAGTAGAAGAGCCTGAGTTATGTCACTGTGCCACTCCAGAGCCAGAGGTTGGGAACACCCAAGTTCCTGTTGGGCCTTTTACTGAAGTAGAATCAGAGACTCATGAAAACAGTGTGTGTGATGTAAGTGAGTGTAATCTGCGGCATGGTGAAGTAGAACACTGTGTCAGCATCCACTCAAAGGAGGAGAACCTCGCTGGTTTTAGTACGTCAACTGGGAATCTAGAAGCTTTTACCACGGGGAATTTAAAGCAGTTAGAATCCAAGACTACTGAACTGAAAAGCACCAGTTACATATTAAATACTCAAATCAATGACTTGACTGCAGGTTGGGAACAGATGCAGTCAGATCACAAGATTTTCTCAAACAAAGAGTTTGGAGTTTTTGTTGACCCAGAGCAGGTAGACAAATACGCTGCTACTCCTTCCTATGAAATACATAGGGCCTCACCTGGTGCCTCAACATTTCAGCGAGGCAATGAGCTGTGTGTATTAGATCTGATGGAAGATACACCAAGTGACCAAGAGCACTGCTATGAACTGGCCAGACAAAATCCCCACGTTGAAATATGGTCACATTTCATCAGTCTTCAGACTGGCAATGCTGACTGGACAAATCAGTTATTTTCTGACACCCTTATTGCTGGTAATGGTGAATATCTGATGGGCTTTTTATGCGATAATGCAATTTCTAACAATACCATGAAGAATGACAGACTGTGTATAGTTAGTGAAAGCTTCCAGAATGAACCTGAAGACTTAAGAGGAGCTTCATATGCAGTAGGAAGATACCCATATCAGCTGCTAGCACCAGAAAATGTTGCTACTTGGGGAAGGCAAGATAAAGATGAATTTGTAAGTATTCTGCAGAATTAATTTGATGTTTAGCTTAAAGCTGAAACTATGAATTTGCATAAGTCAAGACAAATTGTGGTTTCATTATAGTTAAATATAACATGTTGTTTTGTCCTGAAGCTGACTGCTCTCTCTTTAGCAAAACGAATTCTATAGAGAATGTAGTGTCTTAAAAAGTTGCTGAATATTGATACTTTTTTTTTCTTTTTGGTTCTGTTTACCTTGTGTGAAAGTTTAAACATTGGGCAAAGTATTTTGATTGCAGATTCTCAATTCTAGTTGAACTTGAGATTAAAACTTCAGTATATGGAAGGGAGATTTTCTACAAACTGTTAATAGTGTTCTTTACCTTCATACAGGAAGAAATGTTAAAGTCGTAGTGTTTGAACACTTCCATCTTTTTATAAGTCTTTTCTCTATCATTCCAGTAGATGTATTTAATTTGATAGTCTTTAAATATTTTACCTTCTGGATGTGTTTTCTGTGCACTATGATAGTGAGTATTTGAGTGCATGTGTTTCAAAATAAAGCTTTGTGGAGTTTTTGAGTGCCAGCCTTAAACTCTGTAATGTTCCTAGCATCCTTAAATTCACAAAGCAAATTTTAATATGTGTTCTTATGAGTAATACTCTTTCTAGGTGTAATAATCATATTAAAAAAGATACTCTGGGTATGGAATAACTTAATGTGCTTTGCTCAAACATTAGCAAAACAAGAGAAAAGTGTCTCATGTTACTATCAAAAAAAGTATTGTAGATCTTGGCACGGCAGAGAGCAATCTCTCTGAAGGACAAATATAACCATTTATATAATGGTTATATATGACCATTAAATGTGTCCATTTCCAATCCAGGTTAAAGGAGACTGGCCTAAGATGACTTAACTGGATCTGGTAATTGATTCTATTTGTCCTGCCTAGGGGAAAACTTACCTAAATTTTTGTTAATGCTGGTTTTCCCTCTTGAAGTCATGACAGAAGTTGTCACACACATCTCATTGCTTCCAGTTTTTCATAATGCTTACATGCTTATATAAGTCCAGAAGAAAAACAAAAAACCAACAACCCAAATCCTGTGCTCTTACATTTTCCTAATTATTTTATGTTATTTCACAGAAACAGATACCATGATAATATAGTAAACATCGTGTTAACATGTATGTCAGAGAACTACCAGAAGTCTAGGGCAAGTACAGATTGAGTTGGTCTGTCAAAGGCAAAGAATGAAACGCTTGTTGTAGTTTCCTTGGCTGTCCTTTTCTGGTGGTTCTTTACCACGGAATTGAATTCTGTGCTGCATAATTAAATTGTGTTTGTACCCAAAATGATTATGGGATTGCAATTCTGTTAATATATTCAGATGTGGAAAAAAACGTGACAATACAATCTTGAGTAGCACATTTGATACTGTTGCTTGAAACTGTACAGGTGTATACACAGATGTGTGTGCTGTGCATCCACAAAGTGCATAATCAAAGAAATTTCTTTCTGTAGGAGTCAACCAAGGTTTCTGAGTTAAACCCCAATGCAAAGGTGTGGGGAAATCATATGTTACACTTGGAAGCGAGTGGTGCCACTGATGGTAGTGTGAGCAAAACGTGGGAAGAAATACCTGACCAACCTCCAGACTCTTGTAAAGAAGGTATGAATAAAAGTTTCTAGCTGTTGCTCAAGCAAAGGGTGAAACTCAGACTTAGTTTTAACTATGATGATACTGTGATTAGAAGGAATGCTTTCTGAGCGTGTGTGTCATCTCTGCTGCAGAACTGGATGCCAGTGGTGATGGTGACAAAAAGCATCAGAATGCAGTGCTGACAGAGCTGCAGGAGCCATCACCAGTTGTTTCAGTGTCAGACCAGACAGATATGAACCCTTTGGCTCTCGATCATTCTGAGTATGAGTCTATGCATGAAGCCACCCAGACAGGTAAGAGAAAGCTAACATCTGCTTGGACTTGGTTTTAAAAAAGCTAATGTTGATTTGAACAGTGAGCATCCATTCAAACAAACAAACAACCTAAAAATACACAGAAAACCCACCAAAAAAAGCTATACCACTTTAGTTGTTGCTGTGCAAACGAACTGCAGAAAATTGTCTCTTGCTCTCAGGCTTAGACATATTTGGAAACCAGTCTCCTGTTTGAGTATAGGCCTCAGCACAGAATTGATTACAAGTTCTGGATATAACTGAGTATTGTTTTCTGAAATGTTATTCTGAATGCAGGTCCCTGGGGTAGACATGTACATTCAAGTTGCATGCTTCTAGTTGGGTCAGGAACTGAGGTGAAATTCATGTATCATTTGTGTCTCAAGCAGTAATGTTAATGTGTTGAAAGATCAGTATTGTACTTAGAATGGTAGAATAAGCAATAATTTAGTCTAAATTCTTTGCATTCTGTTTTAATTAATTTCCATTATTTTTCTTCAGTGCAACTGTTGGTAGCTGTAGTTTATACCAATATAAATTCATATAACTATGAATCTTTGCTAGGTTTTAGGCAAGAAAGAAAGAGGAGATGGGGAAGGGAAATAATGGTTAGTACATGATATGTGTACTTCTCAGGTGTTTGCATTATCTACATCAGAATAGAACCCAGGAAGGACAAAACGATGGGAGAAAATTAGAAGTTGCTATAGGAAGAAGAAAGGCTAAGGAGAACTGAAGAAAAGGATAAAAGTTACTGAAGAAGGGAAGGGTATAGAGTGTAACAGTTGGTGTGAAATAACAAAACAAAAAAAAAAAACAACCCAAAAAAGCCCCAAACCTAACTTGCATTTATGTAACATGTTACTAAATGTTTTATAAATCTGTAAAAGCCACACTAAACTTCTGATCTTCAAACAGTTCTCCCACTGACAGAATTAGCTTACTCTCAATTTACTGTAGTGTATTGGGTCTAAACTAAAATGGACATGAAATTAGTTTTTTCCACGTGATGATTTTGAAACTTCCAGGTATAAGAAAAAAATAATTATTCCTTCTTAACCAAGAGATTAATTGATCATACATCTGTAGTTAAGTGATTGGATATGAGCTAGCTTCAGTGTGCACTCACAGCCCAGAAAGCCAACTGTATCCTGGGCTGCATCAAAAGGAACATGACCAGCAGGTCATAAGAGGTGATCCTGCCCCTCTACTCTGCTCTTGTGAGACCTCCCTTGGAGTATTGTGTACAGTTCTGGTGTCCTCAACATAAAAAGGACATGGAGCTGTTGGAGCAAGTCCAGAGGAGGGCCATGAGGATAAGAGGGCTGGAGCACCTCCCAGATGAAGACAGGCTGAAAAAGTTGGGGCTGTTCAGCCTGGAGAAGAGAAGGCTGCGTGGAGACCTTCCAGCAGCCTTCCAGCATCTGAAGGGGGCCTTTAAGGGTGCTGGGAAGGGACTTCTCATCAAGGACTGTAGTGATAAGACAAGGGGAAATGGGTTTAAACTTAAACAGGGGAAGTTCAGGTTAGGTACAAGGAAGAGGCTCTATACTGTGAGGGTGGTGAGGGACTGGAACAGGTTGGCCAGAGAAGTGGTAAATGCTCCATCCCTGGCAGTGTTCAAGGCCAGGTTGGACAGAGCCTTGGACGACATGGTCTAGTGGGAGGTGTCCCTGCCCATGGCAGAGGGGTTGGACTATATGATCTTAAGGTCCTTTCCAACCCTAACTGTTCTATGATTCTATATATGCAGATATTTAATAGTAATGGTTTTGAAACTCCTTCTTCTGAGTTAGCATGTTGGGAATTTAGAGTGAGGCCAGAAATGCGAAGTTCTCCGTAACATCACTCACATGCTGTATTGGTCAGATGTATTAGTTAGGGTTTAGTCAGCTAGAAAGAGGTTAATTTCCTAAGACTGGAAGACAGATATAATTAGCTCAGTATTTACTTTGAGATGTTTGTAGCTGCTTTTCTAAAGCTGCTTCAGATTTTTATGTATTTGGAGAGCAAAAGCTTACAAGTGAAGTCAAGCATGGTTTTTCTGTAATGCCTTAAATGAAAAGTATTCCTGTGCAATTTTAGTGGGTGGTAAACTAATACACAGTGAACACTTATGGAATTTGAAAGCTTGTTGTTGGTTATACAACCACTAATAGATATGATGTCTTGATTAAAATACATAATGTGTAACAAAGCAGCACTAAATTTAAGTATTTTAATTATTAGGTGGAAATGAACAGTTGCAGCCAGAAGGTCAGGAAGATTTACGAGAATTACTGAAAAAAACATTGGAATTCTGTTTATCTAGGTATGTATTCACCTAAATGTAGCAAACTGGAGGATAACTAACAAGATCAATACCTAACTTGGGATGTATGTTTATAGTTTCTCAGTTGTCACTTAAAAACTGAGCGGAAAGGATGAGAATTTGGGGGAATTAACACGCAAATTCCAGAGTACTGTATGATATAGCTCTTAAATCCTACATGAAACTTCTGGCCTTAAAACCTAAACTAGCAAATACATTGTTTTAAAGTGAGGTTATTTATAAACAGTTACAGATCAGGTGAATTTTTATGACTGCTACTAATGTTTTTTGATGCAAATTAAAACTGCATCAAACTTAAGACATTTGTTAAGCTTTTAAGCTAATAATATTAGAATTTGCATTGATACAAAAAGCAGGATTTTTGTATGTGCATCTATAGATCCCTTTATATTGTAAGTTAAGGATCAATTAAAAAAAAAAACAGCAACAAAATGACAACAAACAAACCACCAAAACCCACAAAAACAATAAATGGCTCTGAATCATACACATTCCAGTATAGACTGATGCAACATCATCAAAGTAGTTTACTTGTACATAATTATTCTCAGTGCTTGTGTCTTGATAAAAGCATCCTAAACAGATGCCTTAATAACTTAGAACAATTTCTAATCTGTATACTCCTGCACAGCCAGTTAGTCAGTGGTCATTTAAAGTAATAAGCTTAACAATATTATGTGCTCGTGGGGCTAATGTGCTGCCTGAACAGGAAGATGTATGAAGGAAAAATAAAGACATTTTCATGTTTTCTGGGAAGTGAACTATATAGGTAGACCGGGGAGTTGGTGAAAATGCTGAATACAAAATTCAGTGTAGGAATCTGCCTTCTATGTGAGGTTTTGTTTCAAGTTCGTTGGCAAAAGTTACATCTGTGACTTCCCTTTTTTTCTCTCAACAGAGAAAATCTTGCCAGTGACATGTATCTTATATCACAGATGGACAGTGATCAGTATGTGCCAATAATGACAGTAGCAAACCTTGATCATGTCAAGAAACTCAGTACTGATATGGATTTGATTGTTGAAGTGCTGAGATGTAAGTAAAAATCAATCCCTTGATGCTAGAAAGCATTTTGGTTATTGCTGTAGGACTGTTAATCTGGATTTTCAGTCTCTCTTTCTTTTTTAGTGTATTGTAATAAAATGCTTCCCTTTTTCTGTAAAGTATTAAGTAGAGCAAGCACCTTTCAGTTTATACCATCACAATTGCAGGACTGCAGTTTTATCAAAGCTACTTCACATTTGAGGTATTGAGTAATGAACTGTGTAAATGAGGATGATGTGAGTTTAAATTGTGGGATGTGGTGGCACAACCCACATCACTGGAGGATTGCAATGGGTGGCTGTAGGCTGTTTCATAAAGACAAGGCAGGGAAGAACAGAAGGAAGGAGTTGTGCTCTATGTTAAGGAGAATCTTGAATGTTTAGAAGTCAGCTATGGCAATTGTGGAAGCCCTACCGAATGTCTCTAGGTCAAGATCAGAGGGGTTGTATCCAAAGGAGATCTTAGAGTAGGAATCTGCGACTAACCTCCAAACTGAGATAAGTCCAGTGAAGCATTATTTGGGTCACTTAAGCGGGCTTTGGTTCAACAGAACCTGGTTCTTATGGGTGACTTCAAATACCCAGACATTTGTTGGAAGAACAATACAGCAGCTCACATGTCATGCATCAGTCCTTGGAGTGAGCAGAGGACTGCCTCCTCATACAAATGTTAGATGTGCCAGTCAGGATTGAGGCCCTGCTGCACTTGCTACTCACAAACCAAGAAAACCTGCTTCGTAATATCTCAGTGATAGCATTGGCCGCAGCGATCATAACATTGTGGGGATCTGGCTGAGCACACTGAAGGTTAGGACTAAGACAAAGGTTTTTTTAGATGTTAGAAGAACAAACTCTGGCTTGCTCAGACCTCAGTTGGGAGAGATTCCATGGGAAGCTTCCACAGAGGATAAAGGAGCTAGCAAGTACTAGGAGTTTTTCAAGAGCTCTCTGATGGAAGCACAGAAACAGCTCATCCCCTTTAAACGCAGGGGAACTTGGTGGAGTGAGAGACTCTCTTGGCTTAACTGTGAACTTTGAGTCAGCTCAAAACCAAAACAGAAGCATACCAGAGATGGAAAAGTGGACAAATACCTGTTGAGAGCTACAAGGTAAGGGCATTGCCATGGTGTGCAATTGTGCAGTTAGGAAAGCACAAGCTCATTGAAATTGGCCAGAAATGTCAAAAACTACAAGAAAGGGTTCTTCAGATATTTAAACAACAAGCAGAAACATAGGAAAACGTTGGCCAGCTGTTGAACAGGAGAGGTGAGTCAGTCACCATCAATGCTGAAAAGGCAGAGGTTGTCAAGACTTTCTTCACCTCTGTCCTTACCAGCACCGATGGGTCTCAAGTCTTGGGAACAAAAAACCCATGTTGATGCAAACACAGACCCACCAACAGTGAAGGAAGAGTCTCTCAGTGTGCAAACCTATAGTTGCTGATTGCTAAAATACATTTTTGTCTTTTCTCTCTTTAGCATTGCCTTTAGTCCAAGTGGATGAGAAGGGAGAAAAAGTTAGGCCAAATCAGAATCGTTGTATTGTGATTTTACGTGAAGTACCTGAATCTACCCCTATTGAAGTAAGTATTTAATTCTTTAGTAAAGAATGCTTTACCCTTAGGATTTGGAAGTTAGATTTCTTCCAGATTTCAATAAGCATATCACATTTTCTTAATACGTTGTTAGTTAGTTTCTAACACCATTTCTAAATGCTAATTTATTGCATGTGTGTTGATAATAAACGTATTTGATAGAAGCTTGTTGCTTATAGGAAAGCCATGGTAAAACCTTGTAGCTCTGAAGAGGTCTGAAAAACTGAATGCTGTCCTAGGTAGAGATAACTTAATTTTCTTGGACTCTGACTTATCCATATGCTCTTAGTGCACAGCTCCTTGGATAAATGGCAAATGAAGATGAAGGGAGGATAAGTCTTAGAATGGAAAATGCCACTGTTGCACCTTGGAGCTTGTTAGGGTAGAGTACTTAAAGCTTTGCAAATATTTCTGTAACACTGAGGAGAGAGTTGTCAGGAAGTCACTAAGGATCTCCACTGGCTTGTGGAATGAGAGTATGAGAGTAGGCAAATTGATTCTTTGAAAGGTACTCAGTGCAACTCTGATGTAGCCGGGACGACGTCTAATGGAAAGACTAGAAAACAATGGTTTTCTTTTGTCGTCACTTTGTCAGGTTGGACATGTTAGCACTGGGTGCTCTTAAATGCTTAACAACAGCAAAATTCGGAGCAGTCTTTATTTTCAGAAGAGGTGGTCTGAAGTGAAGTATTTTATATGTTATGAGTATAACTTTGCCAGACTGGAAAATCTAGGCTTAACTGACCAGATTTAATGGGATAAGTTTCTGCTTAAATAAAGCCTGACCATGCTACACTGGAAGTGTTTACTCTAAGGCTTCTCTAATTGCATTGCTTTTTGATGCTACTCACCTCAACTCTGTGACAAAAATAGTATGCAAATGGATTAAAACAAATAAGTCCAAGATGTGTTGGGTTTTTTTCTGTGGAACCTAGCTGATTGTTTTTGAGATAATGTAAGCACTGTTTCATATATATTAATCTGTAGACACTTGAGTTAAAATGTATTTCCATGTTTCTGGGGAAGAGGGTGGTTCTTCTACCCCATGCAGCGTGCACAGGTTTTCATGTGGCTCAGTGGTTTTGGGGACAAGGGAGAAATAGACATTTATTGGCAGTTGATGCCCAATTCAAGTGTTTTTCTGTGGCCAAAATAGATTCTCTCCTCTGATTTAAAGGAGCAGGCTACTTCTACTTGCAGCATAGCCTTAGACAACACTTGTTTGAATTTCTTCTAGTTAGTGGGGAGATTGGAGAGAACTAACACTACTTACTGCAGGTGTTCTGAAGTGTTCTCAGTTCTGTTTTGTAAGCCTGAAAGCTTTTTATTTTTCTTACTGGAGTTCCGGAGTTCTGTACTTTTAAGTTGATGTTTTCTTCTGTCTATTAATTTTTTTTTTTTCCCTCCCATCCCTTTCTCTCCCTTCTTATCAAAACCACTTTTCTTAGGAGGTTGAAGCACTTTTCAAAGGAGATAATTTGCCTAGGTTTATTAACTGTGAGTTTGCCTACAATGACAATTGGTTTATTACATTTGAATCAGAAGCCGATGCACAGCAGGTAACGCTATTTTTTTTGAAGCAGTTTAAAATACAAGAGTAGGCAAGGGTGGGATGAGGGTGGATTGACAAGATGTGAAGTGTATTATAACCATGTAACAATTTAAAGAAAAAAATACCTAAACCTCTAAATCCAGTAATGCTTCCCCTTAGCTAATATCCACTTATCAGTACTATTAAATACCCTGTAAGAGTTTTATCTTGTTTGCGTATCCTGGCTTCCTGGCCAAAGCTATAATTTTTTGTACTAAGGACATTGGTATTTTGGATGACAGATTGAAATGTTTCAAAGATAAGAATTAAGACCTTGTTTTGCTGCTACTGAAGCACTTCTGCAGCGGTAACTTAAATCTTGCTGAATACAGATTACATATTACAGGTTTCTATAGTTTTAACATTGGCAAGCACTTCAAGAATTATTGTCAGGATTAGCCTGTCAAAACTTAAGTTTCCTTTGTTTAAATTATACTTGACAAACTTTATAATTTTTTTAAAGGCTTACAGATATCTTAGAGAAGAAGTGAAAACTTTCCAAGGAAAACCGATTAAGGTAAATAGAGCTTTATGATTTTTTTGAGGTGCATGTGTGTATATGTTCTGGTTTGGAGGTGGGAGGCTCCCTGTGTTTTCTAATACAAATTTGTGGTCTGATCTCAGCAGCCATTTGACCAGACGATGGGTTTTAAAATGTAGCACGTACCATTTTACTACTTTTTCTCCTCTCTGGCAGCAGTGTATCTGTCCCCGCATTAGGCCAGCAGGGAAGCATTCAGCTGTTCCTGCCTTTCTTGAAGGAGAAAGCAGTGACTGACAAAGTGTCCAGTAAAAGCTTGAGAGATGCTAGTTTGAACTATCCTGATTTAATTTGAAAGGCTGCTGTAATAATTAATCCAATCTCCTTTGCAGGCAAGGATAAAAGCAAAGGCAATAGCTATAAACACTTTTTTGCCAAAGAATGGATATAGACCTCTGGATATGAACCTCTACACGCAGCAGCGTTACACAACATCCTTTTACTTACCTCCAGTATACAGTCCCCATCAGCAGTTTCCATTGTACAGCTTAATTGGTCCACAGGCCTGGTCAGCCACCCACAGCTACCTTGACCCTTCATTGGTAAGTCTCTTGATTATGAAACAGTTGCATTCTTTTTAAAGTTTTCTATTTTCTTATTTAGTTCTGAAGTCTTGAGGTGTAGGAAATGAATGCATCCGGAATAGAGGAGTTGAAGATACTGATTCTTCTTGAAAAACAGTTCTTCAAAGTTCTTATGGTGTACAAGATTGAAGGATTTGAAAATCATATCTGGTCTTGGACTGCATTTGATTTATTTTTTTTTTTAATTTTTTATTTAACCTTTTAGGTTTTGAGGCAGTTCTTTAGTAAAGCTTATTAATTAACCATTAGCAAAAGAAATCTTCACTACAGACTACTTTTAGTAAAGGTTAAAAGCCTCTTCAGAAATTAGATCTTCAGAATATGTACATGAATACCAGGAAAAGCAATTCCTGTATGTGCTGTATAAACTTAACAGTATCTGATGAATAAGCATAACTTAGTATTTTGATCTTCCAGGAGGAAAATAGGTTCTAGGTTAACATGTTGAGTTACCCTATTTGGCATGTCCTTTAAGCAAAACATTTTCTGTGCAAAAGTAATATCTTTTTTTGGCAATTAAAAAAAAAATCATTTTTGCTTAATTTTAGAAACATTTTTTAAAGGGACTATTGGTACGCCTTAGAGATCAGGTAAGTTTAGAGCCTTACTAGCAGTAGGTCCTTATACACTCTAATGGGACGTCAGCTGCATCCTGCAGTGCTGCTTCTGTGTTCTCCTCTGTGATAGTCCCGTTGGAATTGCCTTGGCCCCTTTTTTAGTCAGCCTTTGTTACCCTACAAAACTCTCATGAATATAGTTTTCTGTAATGACTGGGAGTCTAAAGTTGTCCTGTGTGGAACCTCTTTTTCCCCTCTGAAAATGCCTCTTTCCTCAGGGCTAAAGAACTAGGGTAGCAACACTCAAAATTAGAAGCTTTTTAGAGGTTTTTTTTTGGCAGAGGATTAAAGTGTCCTTGAACAAACTTCCTGTGTACTGAACAGCAAGCTAATTAAAAAGTTGGTGTGTTAAACACTTCACACACACACACAGAAGGTAGCCAGAGCCTTTGCAGAGGAAGGCTTTTAAAGGGAATGAAGAATGTGGGGGAGACAAGGTTGTGTAGTGAGCAATGTTATTCCAGGAGAAAGCAACCTTATTAAGCAGCGATGAATGTGATTCTTCCTTAGGATAAACAAGACTGACTATTGCACAATCTTGCTATGGGTTAGTAAAGTATTTGGGTGGCACTGATGTAGATTAATTGGCTACAGGTTCAAGCACAGCTTAGCATGTATCTGCCTTACATCATCGTTGAACTTTTTGTATTCCAGAAAGCTTACTAGTCCTGGCCCTTAGGGGAAGACATTACAAGTTTGCCAGCATTAAAGGTCTCATGCCTTTCTTAGTAAAACCAGAAAACTAACTAGCAAAGCTTTGTCTCACACTGTTTTGCAGCTTATTGTCATTGGTTAGCTGCATTTTGTGTACATTAATGTAATAGGATGCTGCTTGAACCTTTTATAGGAAGAGCTATGTTTGAATAGAAACTACTTGAGAGAACAGGGACCATGATGAACAATGACACAGGAATAATTCTTATGAGACAGAGTTGCACTTTGTATGTATACTTGTGTGCAAAGATAGAAGTTACTTTCGTGTTCTGCTTTGACTTAAACGCTAACTGTTCTGTGTTTCATCTCTAATTTGAGATTAAATAACACCCAGTAACGTGGTCATACAGTTTTAGTTCTGAAACTAGAATGTAGCAACACATGTCATCAAAATTCTATAACTACCTACTTCTTCATCAAGTCTTTAATAGTATTTGAGGAAAGATCTAGTTTGTCCTATTTGTTTTCCTTTAGTATGTTCAATGTCTTCTCATTAGGTTCAGTAGTTGCTCACTAGCTTTGAATTTTAGTGTTCAAGTTCTTAACTGTTAAAGCAGAAAGCACTTCAAAGCAGTATTTTGATGAAACTTTGTTCCTAAAATAGCTTTATTAAACTCCTAATGGCCATTTTTTTTGAGCCTGAGGTAGCGTTTTTGCTAGGTTAGGCTGTCAGTAGCTTAGCCTGACAGCTTTGGTGTTAAATTTTATTTTCCATTGGTTAGTGATTTACTTTACCTTTTGAAAGAAAGGTTGGACAAGCTTAAAGATACCTTTATAGGAAACAGTCTTAATCCCAGCTGTTTCTCATGATTTTATAAGTATAAAAAGAGTGCTACACAAAAGTCTTACTGTTCTGCATTTTAGTTATTTTCAGGGAGAGGCCAAGCAAGCATTTGCTCTTGCTCATAAGAACGTTTTCTAAATGAAACTCGTTTGTACATTAAACTGGAGAAAAGTGTGTTAGTGAGGTTGGAGAATCATGTACTATGAACATGTTTCAAACTTTGAGATACTTTGTTAATACAAGACATTCATATGCACCTACCTCTCGGAATCTTTTGTTAATGTTGCTTCTTTGTGCAACAAGGCAGTAATTCACACTTCAAATAAGTTGGCAAGATGTGAAAAGAATCAGATGTCCACTTAACATCCACTTACTCTCTAGGCTTTATTAGGTGTCACGTGGAAGATAAGTAGAATGAGGAACTAAACCAATGATTTTTGGATTTAGGGAGGGATTCACATATAAATTGTAATTACAGGCTTTGTAGGTTAGAGACTCTCTGACAAAGCAGGATCTCTGTACTCTGAAGTCATGCATAGTATGGTGTGAAATAGGAGGAGCATTGTACTACTTACAGCCATGAATTTTGGCTCAATGTTTTTCAATCCTTTTAACAAATTTTCAGAACTTCAATATATGCAGTGGCTGTTTTTTCAAAAATCGGCATTTTGATAGTTGGTTACAAGGCACTGGACACATTCTCTGGCTGTTTGAGCCAGTCTTTTAAGCACTGCCCTGCAGAGAATGTCATAAAATATGTGGATAACAAAAAACAGTACTTAGTTTGTTTATAAATATAAGCATGCAATATATTCTTTAGGTAACACCATTTCCAAATGCTGGATTCATCAATGGGTTCACATCTCCAACCTTCAAGCCTGCTGCTTCTCCATTGACTACACTCAGACAATATCCTCCCAGGAACAGGCAAGTTCAACTATTTTTTTTAATAATACACACATGATTATATTATCTGGCATGTGGGGATTTAATCTGCTTATTTTAGTAACACCTGAAAATACCTGTGAAATTGGACTTAGTGCAAAAGTGAGGCCATAGGACAGATGCTGCTGCTCTTGTTAGTGGATGTATTGTTTCTAAATATAAGTGGACTGTCTGAAAGCTGAGAACTTGTCTGTTCCATGATTTAGGGTATTCAGATGAAATATTCTGAATAATGGCATGTGATCAGCAGGATTATTTGTACAGTGTTTTCGATTTCCAGTAGTTTTTAGTAAAGCCATAGTTGAAAACAGACAGTGAAAAGGTTAATTTGGGTAATTCACATGACCTGTTAAAATGAATATTTATCATTCTTATAAATGAAATATGCAATGAAGGACTAAAGATCTTACTTCTTCTGAATTCTGTGTATGGACTTAGTCCTCAGAAGATCTCATAGTACGTATGTTGAAATGACTTTTGAATTTGTAGGAATCCTAGCAAGTCTCATATACGACATACAATACCCAGTGCAGAGAGGGGACCTGGGCTTCTAGGCAGTCCTACAATATTCGACTTTTCTGCTGATCGTTTAATCAATGGCGTCAGGAGTCCACAGACGCGGCAGCCGGGACAAAACAGGACACGGATGCAGAATGCTACTACGAGTTATACCAAGAGGGAAGTGGGAACTGGACGGATGGAACAGACCAGTGTTGACTCGTCTCCTGGATTAGGTAGAGGAAGGTGAGCGTACTCTCTTGTTGTCCTCTGAACAACTGGTGCTGCTGCTTCTAAACTGCTGCTTCTAGTGAAGAGGTATGGTACTAGTACTGTTCTCATTAGTATTTTAAACGGAGACTGTCTCACCTCAAAACTAAAATCTTGGAAACTACTTCAGAGAAAGTGCTAAATATAGAACAAATGCAGAGTGGACTTTCATACCAAATGAAAATCATTAAGGGCAACCAATGAACAGTTTACAGCTGTAAGATCCAATTCTCTGTCCTTTCTTCATATGTTGTAAGAAAGATCTTGCATATTATTTAACTTTAATGAAGCTGTTCTGCCCTTTCCGTTGTTCAGCAGTGTAGATTGTGCTAGCAGTGCTCAGTGTTAATTTTTTCAGTTTCAAGATCAGCATTTTGCCCAAATTAGACATTTACAACAGAGATGATGGATTGGTATAGAGGAAGGAAAAAAGATTATATGCCATTAAGAAGGCTATTGTTACGCAGTTTAAAACAAAACCACAAACACCTAAAAAAACCCTCACAATACAACACCTCCCTCCCACCCCCCAACAAAAACCCAACCTAAAAAAAAAAACGCAAACAAAGAAACATAAAAACCCATACTGAGGGAGCTGAATATTGGCAGCACCTATATTAATGCTAGAATTTAGCAGGCTTATCTTGGATTTTTTCAATACAGTACAGTTCTAGTAAGTGCTTTATAAAAGTACTGTGCAGCTTTGAACGATGGCTGCGTTTGTGTCTCCAAGTAAATTATATTCAGTGACTTACTAAATTGGAAGGTAACTTGAGTCTTTTGCAGATGATCTATATTAAACTTGTATTGCATCATTACAAAATTAAGTGGGGATTTTGTGCAAGGATTACAATACTTTTCTATAATCTAATTTACCAAATTGTGTTATAACTGATGGATGAAAGTATGATTAAGAACCTAGGAAACAAGTTTCTTCAAACTACAGACTACAAAAATGTACAGGAATAGCCAGAATTTACATTTATATTCTGAAGTTATGTTATTGAATATATTAATAACAGTGAAAATCAAACTTAGAAGATATATTGCAACAGAGTTAGAATGCATTGCAGATTTAAAAATGCTGCTGGACGGGCTTTATCTCAATTGAAAGTGATTATCTGTATTTCAAAAGTTACATAGGTATAAAAAAAAACCTCACGAAAACCCCAACCCAACCACAAGAAAACCCTTTACTTTGCCTATTGAAGGGTTTTGTCTAAAGCTTATATGTAATCGGCACTGAGATGTTTTTAACAAAGGCATTATTTGTAACCATTGTATTCTTACGCTGACTTGTATTAAGATCCACACGTTCATTTTAATGACAGCTTGCTGGAAAATTTTCCCCAAAACATTTTTTTAATAACCTGTCTAGAGTGAAGACGGATGAAATAGCAATTTGAATTAACTTCTCCCATTTTCACCAGCCGCTTTAGATTCATTTATAGGCAAGGTTCTAATAACCGCTTTCTTTCCCCAGGAAAAACTCATATGGCTACCGAAAGAAAAGGGAGGACAAGTTTACAGTGAGTGTTCATGATCGTTTTCATCTATCTTAAAAATAGGTTAACAAGTCAATAGTATGGATATTATGTGGGGTAGCAGGTGAGGTAAGTCACTGCACAAGCAATTGTATGTCACAGTTGATTGAAGACAGCAGCTCATTAAAGTCACATCAGTTTACTGCATTTGGGTATTAGAGAAGATTGTCCATTAATGCAGAAGTCAGAGGAAAAGTTAAAGTTACTCTTTAAAAAAAAAAAAAAAGTAGCAAAAAATTTCCATTTAGGTGTTACTTTGTCAGCATGCCACTGTTCACGTTTAGGGCGAGCTATACCGCTAAGCTGAAGTTCAAAACACTTGATACTTATCATTCGTGTAGATGTTGAACATGTTATAGATCCATGTGTCATGTAGCTAGAATGTTAGTTTAGCGGTCAGTTCTGTTTCTTAAATGCCTTTCCGAGTACCAGGTTATACTAAGATTACAGTTTTGAATTCAAGGTGAATACCTAAATAGCCTTGGTACTTGATTCTGTAATACTTGAAAAGGCTGGACTAGATGTTGTGTAGAAGAAAAGCAAAATGTAATTTTCCGGTAGGACTTAAAGTTTGGTTTGAGAAAACCAGACACTTCTCTGCAATTATTTTTTTCCCACGCATGGCATGTTTATGAAGTTGAACCATATTATTTCTTTTATTCATATTAAAATTGCTAATTCAAATTAAAATGACCCCACTGCAAAAGCCATAACACTTTCAAAAAGGTCTGGAATCGCTGCATTGTGAATCTGTGGCTCCTGCTGTTGAGTAGGCTGACAGGTCTTGGATAAAGGAGCTTTAAGGTTTGGAAAGCATAAGATGACAAGTGGTTCCTTCCCTTTAGTTGCTTTTAGTTCTTGTCAGACTTACCAGTAGGTTTCACAGATTACATGTAGGATTCTCAATACTTCTTTCTTTTGCTCTTTCAAAGCTACTTGAACTTTTAGCTTGATGTTTTCCTATCAACATTTTTTTCTGTCTTTGAAAGAACAAGGAAGTATACAGGTTAGGCATGTCAGTGGCTGGAGTGAAAGAATTACCTTGGACCCTCTTACTGACTAGAGAGGCTCTTCTGACTCAGCTGACTATACAGATTATTTTAATTTTGAATATAGAACTGCTAGACCTGAGTTCTTTGCAGACCCACAGTTCCCCTCTCTCAGCACCAGGCTTTAATTGCAGCCTGTGCAGCGAGGTTCCTTTTAGTCTCTTCTGACCCATGAATCTTTAGCCTGTACTATCCAGTAGTGCAACTTGAACAGAGGTGAGAGCTGTTGGGAAGAAGTGTAATCTGAAAGATTAACATTTGACCTCTCTAGAATGTGGAAATAATTGAATCCACAATCCTATTTCTTGTGTGATTAGATAGTGTACCTAGGCCTGAACTACGACCAGTTGTATTCAAATGGAGTGATGACTTTAATTTTTTTCTTTTTTGGCTATAGACATAAGCCAATTACTCAACTTGTCATGCAAGTTGACTTGAGAAATTTTATGCAGTTGGCAGCTCAAAACTGACTGAAGTCCTCCCACGTCTCACTAATTTAAGGGGTTAATGGTACTTGTCTCTTTATGTTGGGTTTTTCAGGACTCATCCATATAACTTAAAACATACAAAAGCATTATCTGTTGAAGGACTTTAGTCCTCTTTAAGAAAACTAAATGCTGCGATTTGAAGAATGATTCAGGGACAGAAAAAAGAAAAAAACTAACTAAAAAAAGTCAAAACAAAGCCCCACAAAACCAAAAAGGTTGTTCCTCTTGCAGTTTGAGCTGCATAAGTGTAGTCTCTCTCAGACCCTTTGACAGGTCACCTGACTTCTGGTTTTGGAGGTTTGCAGCCTCCATTGCTTTAGCACTCTTCAGGGGCGTAACGCCGGGTGAGTAGCAGTCCTAGGAGTTGCAGTTGTTCTTGTCTCTATTCTTTCCTTACTTCCTTCTTGACACATACTTCTTACAACATAAACTAGAGTTTGTGAAGAGACCTCAAGGGTAGTCTTGTAGGTATTGCTCTTCATGAGGAAGAGGGGAAAAAAGTTAAGTAATAAACAGCTTTCTGTCCAGAAGCATTCTTTTCATATTCAGACCATCTTGCTGTATGCCTGTATTTCCCTTTTCAAATTAGGAATTGTCTCAGACTGCTTTGCATTTGGTATTCTGCAGCAGAGATCACTTCAGCACAGGCCTGAGCATAGTCATGAGTTACTTTGTTTACATGATACAGATGAAGTTAATTGGTAAATTCACTTATAGCATATTACAAAAGGAATTTTACTTTTCAGTGTAAATAGAATTCAGCTTTACAAATCCTTAAAAGTGCTCCTCACAAGTGATCTTTAACTGTGGTACTGTTAACTCCAGAACTGCTGTCTGTAGTGCAAAATAATTGCATTTAGCCTATTGATGTTTTTGTTTTCTACCTGGGACATTGTTTTTCTTCTTAGATTTAATTAAGAAAAAATCTCCGTGTTTCAGAAGTAGTTCTGACACTTATCTTTGCATTTTTACAAAGTTGACCATATAAATTAAAAAGAGGAAAAATGCTGTTGTCTACATTACATGCATGGCATGCTGTCCCCCATTTCTTAATATACCTGAACGTGGTCAAGATTCTTGACTCTTGTCCTTCATTCAGGATGTTACCAACTGCACGTAAATGGGCTTTGTATTTCTGCTATATCATTGTATCTAAACCAGTCCGTTTCCCTTTCTGTGTCAGTGTTAAGATCTATCCTGAAGGAAGGGTTAGCAAGAAGACTTTTTCTTACTATACCAGTATCATTAAAGCTTATGCATATGAAATTAAGTATGCTTATGTATTCAGAGTTCAATATTTTAAGGGCAGCAGTGGAAAATGAAAGCTTCTGTTCCTTGGTACTGTGTGGTTTTCTTGGGAGGTGGGATGAGGGAGGCCTCTCTAGAGCTTCACAGAAATAAATCAAATGCAAAACACAGTTCAGAGTCCCACGTCTGTCTTTCCTGTCATCCAGTGCAGTAACCTCAACACGTTATTTCTATTCCAGAGAGGCCAAACACAGTCTCCACCACCCCCAAAACCTCCATCTCCTAGCTTTGAATTGGGTTTATCTAGCTTTCCTCCATTGCCTGGGGCTGCTGGCAATTTAAAGACCGAAGACCTTTTTGAAAACAGACTGTCCAATGTGGTAATAGGAACGACAAAAGAAAGAGTGAGTAGCCAGTGTTCACTTTTGTTGGGGAAAAAACAACGTTGCGTACTTCTTGTTTTTTGATTTGGTGGCTTATACGTAGAAAAACTTGTGGGTTTACATGGGTCATAAGTGCTTTTAAAAACAGCTGTCAAATGATGTGCCACTGCCGTCTTCACTTATATCTGAAAAGTTGGTGGGTATTCTCTTTGAAATGGTGTGGAATATGAGCACCAGTGTAAGTAGATATTAATAGCAGAGATTAGAAAATACGCTCTTTGCTGTTCGTAATTACCTTAGGCTTTTTGATAGACTCAGGTGAAAAGTATGTGATAAATTTTCCTCCTGTTTGAAATTCAGTCTCTGAGTTCTATATAAAACACTTGAAAGCGACAAACTTTTAAGCACTGAAATATAAAGAAGCTGCCTACAAAATCTTAAGTACACTAGGTATGATAGCTGGAACAAGAACTGTTCCCAAAACCAGCTGGATCCCAGCGTTGTCTTACTGCTTGGAAATATAAAAATATACCAGAATGAGTTGGCAACCACTGCTTTCTAGATGTAGTAGAGATACAGTTGAAAATTAATGTTCAGTAGCTGTTCATGGATTTCATTCTTAGAACTGTCTCTACCATGCCATCTGTGAGTGATGGTGTGTTCTCCTACAGCAAGACTTGTATAACCCTGTGTGCTATGGAACAGTTTAGGCTATGGAAGTCAGTATTGGCTTTTTTTGCTAGCTCTAGTTTAACTTGTGTTTTTCTAAGTGTACCACAACTGAAGAACATAACCCCTGGATATAGCAGTGCTAAGCCACCTGTTGAAACACCAAAATCTCTCTCGGGTCTCATCTCTACAACTAGTCTGTTGCAGAAGTGTTTTCTTTGGTGCCCGTGTATCAGAGCTGGGTAGGGAGAGTATTTGTTGGTAAAGGAAAGAGGAAGCAGCAGAGCAGCCTGCACCCAAAGCAGTGATTGCACAGACAAGCCATATATTCTGTCTCTTGTAAGTGATAGTAGGGACAGCTACATTCCAGAGTTGCATTTAGGGGGGGGGTAATGTGCAGGACAGTGCCATGGTAAGAGCAGTGTTTAATCTGGAGTACTGTCAGCCAATACTCCAGGTTATAGCCTGTTCTTGGCTGAGGTCTATTTTTAAGTATTTTACCTCTGTTATTTCTGAAGTGTTTTCTGACTATCCTATTTCAGGTTTTAAGTATAATTCCAGTTCTTGGTAGTGATACCGCAGCTGAAAACCCATTGCTCCTCCCATTACAAATCTAGCACTTGCTTTGCACTGTGATTGTAAAGAACTTGCACTTCTCCTCTGTAGAAGCAGTCAGTCAGGCACTGAGGTTTTTGTGGTATAGCAATCCACTGTCACATTAAAAAGCTTCCTTTGATTTCCCAGTATCTTTTTCTGGCTTGTATGAGTTAGTCTGTACCATTGTTTGGAAGAAGGGGGTTGCACCGTCTTTCCTTGTTTGTGTTAATAAGGAATAAGATAACAGCAAACTGGCTCCAAAGAGCGATTGTGTTCTTTTACAAAGGTGTTTGAGTTAATACTAGAATCTTGCTCATGGACACAGGCTGCTTCTCACCTTGAAATCAAAATTTTTTCATGTCACTCAGTGTAGGGTTGCAAAGCGCTGAAGTAGTTACACAGTGCTGCTCTTGAGTTAGAGATGGGCAAGTCCAGTGTACAGAAACTTAAGTGAATTTAAGTTGTCTAATTTCCAACACTGTTCCCTGAGCAGCTTTGCTTTGTGGTGCTCTTCTAGATGTAGCTCTGGGGAATGGCAGGTATCATGCCACATTTTCCAACTGGGAAACTGCAGCACTGTCAGATCAGGGGCTGAGTGTTTTGTGCCTAGGAACAGCACTTGTATATCTGCTTGACTTGAAGCTATTCATACTTAACCATGTACCTACAAGTTTTTATGGGCTTGGGCTAGAGTACTCAGCAATTTGCAATTACAAGCCTTTCTACGCACTATTAGAGTGAAACCACAGAAGCTGTTCTTTTGTTTCTAAAATCCATTTTTTATGGCTTTACTTTTACTTTGAGTAAAACTAGTCTTAGATGTACTGCAGTAATCTGTGACGCCTGATTTTAAACAATGTCATCAAATACCATTTTCCCTTGTAACAGTGACCTCGGGAGTATCATGTTTTATGACCTTTGAATGGTGGCTGGGCTGGTGGAAAGGGGTGGCTGGTGGCTATCTTCCTCCTGTGCTTGTGTTGTCTTCCGTTGCTCTCCCTTCTGCTTACCAGAATCTGTTCTGGTTCTGGAGTCAGACAGGTCAGAAGTAATACATTTTTAAAACAAACAAAATGGTTATAAATATCAGAAATATGTTTTTCAAGAGGCAAAAATCTTCTTTCTCATTTTGCAGCCGTTTAAATTCATGTGTGCGTTTTTTGAACCTATTTGGCCTTTATCTGGAAGTGCGGTATCACTTGGCACTAGCAGAATCTTTTCAGGGCTGTGGAAAAAGCCTCTTTTGCTTGGTAGCAAATCATATTATAGCATAAGAAAGGGACTTTAAAATGATGGTCATATCCCAGTTTGTAAAACTTTTTTAAGTTTAGGGGTTTTAGCACCAGCTATGGGGATGATGCAGAATTAGAGCTTTGAAGAAGACAGTGCATAAATCTAGGAGACTTGTCTTAATAGGCTAACTGTGGTTATGTGACCAGGCACAAAGCCTGCTTTGTCACCAGCAGGTGCAAAATTCCCAGGGTGAAAGAAGTGATTTTGTCACCCAGGTATGTCCCAAAGGGAACCAAGCTTTGAACTTGGGAAGGAGCCACAGTGTGTGATTCATTTGTCTGTGTTTCTAAATAACTGTAAAGGAGAAAACTTACTTGTTGCAATACATATGTTGGATCCTTCTGTATGTATCTCCCTATAGTTAATTTACCTTTATAAATCAACTTGTAAACTGTTCCCTGATAGTGTTAATTTTCAGGCAAACCATATTAATTGGAAACTATGATTGCCCTTTTCTGCCTTTATTTTTTAACTCCTTCAGAACATTAACGTTGATGCAAGTACAAACACTATTCCGTCGGGAATTCCTCGAGAGCCAGTGTTGCCAGTTTCTTCTACATTGCCCAGGACGTTTGAAAGGTCTCCTTCGCCACCCCAGTCTTCTGAGTAAGCACTTAATTAGACAGCTATAATTATTCTGAATCACATTTGCATTTTCTTTCATCAGAAGGCTAGGTAGAACACTGTACATAGTTATTAAAATCTTAATGAATGAAATAATATTTTATTGTATTTTGTAGTAAAGGCAATAAAACTTAGTTTCTGAACAGTGATTCAGTCATAATAGTAATTCAGCAGACAAAAGTTTAGAGTTGTGTTTTAGTCTCTGCAAGTATTTAATGAATACCTTACTGCCTTGTATTTAGACAGCTGTGAAGTACGAAGAGCAAACCCACAATCCTGTGGGCAGTACCGTTGTCCATATACTAAAGTTTTCAGTAAGACTTTATCTGGAACCTGCAAATAAAATTGAGGTGTTTGAGTAATGAAAGCAAGATAATTGAATAACCAAATGGTATCAGAATGTCACAAATTACAGGTAGTGTCTAGTTCCACAGGAATATCTCTTAATATTTGGTAGCGTTTTTAAATGTAAGCTAGTCATAATGGGCTAGGCAAATTATAGCTGTAACTTCTTATAGTCGTACTTGGATACTAAGTTTTAGACCCATTATTAGATAATTCATCTATCCTGAAGCTTCACTTTTCATGAGCCTTGCTTCCCACTGGATGCTTACAGGGACTCCAAGGTTGTGGATAAACCGCAGAAAGAGACACAGAGTACAGAAAGGCTTTCTTCTTCCACACTCAGTACTGCATGTAAATCGGTACAAGTCAATGGGGCTGCCATAGTAAGTGATCTTATTACTTCACTTTCTCTTAATGATCCAGTTTGATGCATTTAACTGAAAATTGCTTCCATTGCTACCCAGTGTTGCTTAATCATGTGACCCCAGCATTCTTAAATTTGAGTGTTGGTGGCCTCATGATTATTTGCATGGTACAGTTATGTAATTAACAGTGCAAAAGTGTTCAAGATAACTTGGTGAATCATAGGTCTTTACCAGAATTCTCTTCTTGTTGGTATGAGGTAGAAGTATGAATACATATGTTAATATTTCAACCAGAGTATTCATCATCTTTTAGCTGTTTCAGAGTTTGCTTGAATCAGAAATACTTTGCCTTATCACCGTATCCCATTTTTCTGGCATACTGTTTTGCATTTTACCTTGAACCTTATTGTCTGTACAGCTTCTGTAAACATTATACTTCAGCCTTCGTCTGCATATTTTAGTGCAGCAGTCTTTGGGGACAAAGACTATATTTTTTGTTCGTGAAAGTAAACTACATTGTCTCAGGATACTTTGTTTAACTCTGTTATCCTGTTTGCTGTTGATTTCACAGGAACTTCGAAAACCTAGTTATGCAGAAATTTGCCAGAGAACAACCAAGGATCCTCCTACATTGCAACCCCAGAAAGAACAGAAGCCAAACACTGTAGCATGTGGGAAAGAAGAAAGAAAGCCCACAGAAACAATAGAGAAAAACAGAGAACCTCCTCCTGCAAAGTCACATCCTGGACAACCCAAAGACCAGAGGAGACAGTCAGGACGCAGATCGTCCCCTCCAGCCGTTGGCAAACGTTTAAACAAAGAACAGAGCACCCCTCCAAAATCTCCTCAGTGAAACTAACACCTGGGGGGGATTTGAAAAGAGGTCTGCTTCCCACAAATTAAACCCATGTTCCCACTAAGATACCTGAGAATGAGTTGCTGGTTAGGAGCTTGCAGTGATACTAGGCATATAACAATGCCTGCAGGTTATTTTTCTGTGAAATACTTTTTCCCCTCTTGAACAAACATTCTATTTTTCTGGATAGTTCTGGATAGTTGTTCTGAACCTTACATTTAGGTTGGTGCTTAATTGGAGGTGAAGCTTAGTGTGATTATTTTCTTTCAAGATGTAAAATATTTGTCTTTACGAAAATCAACTTTTTATTAAGCCTCTCTGTGGCTGTGTGAGTGCAAGCTCTGTATAGTGAGTTTTTTCTAAACTGTTAAGCAGAAATGTGCTGCTGCAATATTTTTAATAAACTGGTCTGCAAGTACATATCTAAAGTGTCCAAACGACTGATAACGGCAGCTAGTGTGTGTAGAGTGCAAGGAAGTAGACACATTTTACAAACTAGTATGTGACCTTGAAGATTTTTTTTATTAGGCTGCTGTACTAAGTGTCAGCAAATGAACTTGCACTTTGAGGTTCAATGAGTAGTTGTTTCTAGCATTTTTAAGAATTGACTCTTTTTTTGGATGTTTTGCACACACAAAATGAATCCTACAGAGCACCATAGCAGTCTTTCTAAAATATTTCCTTTTGTGACTTACTGCAAGCAAGTAACCATCTTCTCACTCCAGAGAAAAACTGATGTTATAATTTGCAAATACAAAGCACATTGTGAATAGAAAGAATTAAGTCTGTGAGCTTCTACGGTGGGTGAAGCCTGTTAGTGGATGTTATCAGGAGAAAGCCCTGTAGCCTTCTTGTGATAACCTTAGCTTCCCTGTGCTTGTAAGGGAGTTAACTGAGTCAGCGCTGTATATTCTGGTTACCCCTGTGCTCTGCGTAGGCTTTTTTTTTTTTAAACTCTGCCCCAAGTGCTCTTTGAAAGAGTTCATATCTTAGTCAGCCTTGTGTTGGCATCTTCCTGTAACTACAAGCATTGGCATACGGATGTAAATTTTTCAAGAAGTGAGATAATGGTGTTTGTTTTGTGTGGTGGAGGAAGAGATCCCTGATATTTACCTCTGGGATGAGGTTTCTCACACTTATTTACTTTAGAAGTGATGCGCTTTCTGAAGGACAAGGATGCACTAAATTAGCAAGTTTCTAATAAAGTTGAATATAAATTATTTTTGTTTTAAAATGCCTAAAGTTTTTCTTTGAGTGTTTAAACTGCAGGAAGTTCAGACAAAACTCATTCCTGCTGACTATGACAGTACAGTTTATTCCACAAAAGTGTTTATTTAAACAACTGATTTTTTTAAAGAATTATTTCCATCCAATATTTAAAGACTTGAATTTTATTTAAACTTGAAAATGACTTTGCCTTAACTTTTGTACAAGACAGCTTAGAGTTAATGAGGTCTGACCCCGTGGAGGGTTAGCGTGAGTGGAATACAGAATTACTCAGTTACAGTATGTATCTATTGTCACTGGTCTTACTGGGTAAACATACTGTAGTACAGGAACTAGCAGCAGTTTTTGTAATATACCTTAAAGATCTTAAACAGTTGATCTTTTTCAGATTGTTGAAAAACCTGTAAATGCAAATAGTCAATACTGTATTAAATATGTGCACTTGGAAGTGTGTGCTTTGCTTGTACAGTTGTAAATAATCAGAACATATAAAAAGGTACCCTAAAGAAAAAATCTGATAAAAATTATTGATATTATAAATGTTGCTGTTGAGCTGGATGTAGATAAACTAAATGTTGTGGTTTGAATATTACTTTAATTTGTTGTTTTTTCTTTTTCTTATTTTATTCTGGTGTGCTGAACTGACTCTGCCTCTTCACTGCAAAAGGGAAATGGAACGAAAGTCTTATCTGAAAGCCCTCAAATGTTTTCCTAAGTCCCTCTAGAAACAAGCGATTTAATCAATTCAGAAGTGTTCTGCAATGTAAATAGAGAATTTCAGCAGTCAAAATGTAATTTTTTTTGTCATTAATAAAATCAGATTTAATTGGGAAAAAACTATAGACTGCTACAAAAATGTACACTGAAGCCTACTTGTCTGCTTTCAAGAGTATCAGTGCTTTCCGTAATGTATGATTCATAGAACTGTAAAGTAACTATAGAAGTTGACTCCTGATAAATTTCCTATTACAAGTATCAATTGATAACTAGTTGACCTTTTAAATCCAGCCTGTTGTATCCAGAATTGAATCCAGAATTGGTCAAAATAGGGCATGCTGGAATCTGTTGATTGTTCTTGTTCAAAAAGCGTCAATGCTATGGGAGGGGATAGGACTCTGACAACATCACCAAAACTGCTCAGCTAGTTCTGTCATTGGATTTTTAACGTGCTTCTCCTTTCCCCAGTGGCAGTGAAAGTGGTGGCTAGATTTGTGTATGGTTTAGGCCAGCTGTATGATTCATTTTGTTTGTCTGCTGCAAGTGAAAGGCTTACCAGCTGCAAACAATCACAAGTGGTTCCTTACAGAGACTTGTGTACAGCTAGTTATGATACTCAACTGGTACCTACGGTGATATATGGAGACCAGGGGGATGTGTTGTGCTGTTATAATGTATTCTGCTGCCATTTGTGCTAGGTCAATACACTGTAATTACTGCTTACCCAGCAACAGTCTGTTGCATCGAAAGTTTAAACCTTTTTCTGATGTGGTTTTTATAGCTTTTTTTTTTAAAGGAAAAAAAAAAGTGACACACCAAATAGCTGTGTAATATACAACTTATCCGTACTGCATTTTACTTTGAGATTTTGGGGTTTTTCCACTCAGTGACAAAATGGAGTTTCTGGAGTAGAGTTGTGAAGTTGCATGCAGACTGTTGCTACGATACACAGAGATTAAAATGCGGCTTTTAAAATGAAAAACAAACCTCCCAGAAGCAGTAGCTGAGTTCAAGGTACAGGGATACAGGAATTAAATTGGCATTTTACCTTGTAGGACTGTGTGGTGACGCTTTTAGTTTTGAAAACAAGTCAAAATGGGATCTGAGACTCCTCTTCCAGGAATTAAAAAGCCAAAAAAACAAAGGTTGCTTTTAAAACTTAATGTTTCAGATCAATCCCCCACCATGATGCTGTCGTTCGCCACTTAGAAATCTCTGAACAGTGGCATATTCCTAACGTTGCTGCATTATCCTTCACAGATATGAGCAGTTGGCATAGAGAGGCGCTCGTCTGAGTGTGGTGCAGCGTATCAGGAGCAACAGCTGACTGTAATGGTGCATACCTATCTCTGTATCTCCTCCAGCTAGCTACAGTTAGGGATTTTTCTGTGCTTTGTAACCTATTACACTAATAGCAGCAGACAATCGAAGACTTCTAAGGAGACCTAACAGCTGCCAATTCATGAAATAGAAGTGTAATATGGGAGCCTTCTTGAGGGTTTTTGTTTTTGTTCTTCTTCCATTAAGACTGGAATCAAGCTTACATGTAAACTATCAGTAATTTAAGTTTCCTTTTGTGTCATAAAATGTAAAACTGTCTAATTTGAAAAAATATGTAGGTTATGAAAAATAAAGATTTAGGCACTGTTGAATTCCTGATTTTTTTAATTAAACCTTTCTTCAGCAGTATTTTTCACTTCCTTTTGTCTTTTGCTCCCATTTTTGGAAATTGTATATTTCTAATTTTGGGAAAACAAAAATCTTTGCTTGCTTTACTGTTCAGCACAGCTGTTGTAACCATCACCTAAGGCTATGTAGCAGCAACAAGAACACCTGCACTGTAACTCTGAAGGCACCAATGTCTAATAGGTAACTATGGTTAACTTTTTTAAAACAAAAAAAGCTGGTGTGATGTACTGTTTACTAGAGGTTATAATCTTCATTAGTGGATTCCTCAAATTATTAGAGAGGGTGTTGGCTTGGGTTTAAACATGAGTTTTAATGTTTGGGTTAGTGCTTTGGTTGCATGGCTCTTGAATCCAGAGATGTTCTGGGATTATTTTTGGCTTTGGCTGGTTTTGGAGATTATCCTGGTCATGCCTCTAGGAAAGAAGAGCTGCTGGGATATCCTCCCTCCAAGTAAAAGATTTATTGTGGAAATACTTTAAAACCTTTTTCCTTTTTTAGGTTTGTTTCTCATTCAGCTACATCTGAGCAAGTTTAACCATGGATGTAAGCACAAAGTACTAATAATCGCTGATCTTTATAACCATCTTGGGAAGTTTTGCAGTATTATTCTTCAGGTTTCTTCTTCTGTAAGCTTGTGGTCAGATTACATTGCAATTGAGTATCCAGAGATTACTTATTGTCACAGAAGCTGTAACTCATTGCTTTTTGATCTCAAGGCTTCTTAGATTTTACACAGTTTTAAGGGTTTTTTTTAACACACTCTAGAAATTAAAACATGTTGATTTTCATGACCAGGCTTTTATGAGTGCAACCACTTAGGGAAGTGATTGAATTTCAAATTTTGCTGGTTTATAGGTGTGAGTAGCATTGCCCCCTTCATCTCTGCTTCTGAGAGAGTAAGCTGTGTAGCAGTGGAGAGCCCATGTGCCATCCAGTTACAGTAGCTCAGTTACATCCACTCTCAGCATGGATGTGTCTTTCATAGAATTCAGTGTTCAACTGAAGCTGGTCAAGTAGAAGTTTGCTCCTGTTGAGGTGTGCCATGTCCTTCCTGTCAGCGCCCTCAGGGTGACACCCTCCCTGGCCTGCCTGAAAGTAACTGAGAAAGAGGGGTTTTGGCATAGGTCAGAGCTGCTGTACCGCCGGCAAGATGGCGAAAGGGGCAGGAATGCACAGTCGGTGCCCTGAGGAGACTGCTGTGGTAGGGATGGTGTCTTACATGGGCTGAAGCTAACTGAGTAGCTGTACAACTTACCTTATGATGAATGGAAGGTAAAAAGACTTGGCTTAAATGTAGCTTTGCTTGCTCAGGTGAATACAGCTCACTCAGCTCATCGCACTTGGTCATTTCGAGCCTTATTTTCACAATGGGGAGAAGAAGGGAGGAGAAGGGGTCTGGTTTTTGCTTTAGTCTTGGGTATTCTTATGTATGAGCTGTAAATGCTGAATCTTAAATCCGTTGCATGGTAATAGGTGATG